TTGTACAAATAGCTAAAGATTTCCCTAACTAAATAATTATCAATCAAGGTAAACTTACATTATCGAAAATACGGCGTGCCCGTCGCCGATCGTCCGGTTCAACGCCCGCTGGCGCTGATTGAGTACGGTTCAAAGGGATAACTTCCATATCAATTGTGTCTTGTCGTCGTGGCGGTGGACGTGAAGGTGTCGGTTTTTGACCTTGCTGTACTCGTTCCGACGGCACTTGTGGATATAGACCGTTTTCCACGTCTCGTTGTGACTGTTGGCGCTTCGTTATTGGGCCAGACATTTTATCTGCGCAAATTATTTATAATAGCAAATTAACAAAACAGTTTAATATATGTAGTATGCACATACGTTTAGTATGTACTAATTATGGGTGTGTTTTTAGTAGGTTTGTTTGTGATGAAACTCAAGAGGATTTCGCCGGTAGAAGTAGCACTCAAAGCAAATATTTTATATTTTGTTTTAACAAGTACTCTAATTATTTTATGAGTATGTACAGTATACATATTTCCCGCGTTTTAGTTTTATATTCCTCTATCACAGCGATAACAAATGTTGTATATCTTTTATTATTGCCTATTATACAAACGTGTAAAAGCATAAAACGCAATTTTGTTCACTTAGAAACGCTTTCTCTTCACCAATTGGACATCCTAGTCTCATTAAATACATAAACAGCACTGATATACTCTTTTTCTAACTTACAGTTTTGCTAATATAATGCTTATCAAACTTTTTAACTTTTATTTTATCGACTATTAAAAACTATATACAATTAAATCATGTAATTATCTTAACCAGAGAACAATATAAAATTTACTAACGTAAAAAACACCTTGCACTAGACAACCACTAAAAAAAATACCCGTTCACGATAAACGCAAACAACCGACTGAATGAATTGCTGATTCATCAAATAGCCCGGTATCAGGGTTCGGAGAACAATAATTCGAAGCGCACTGAACTTAAAAAAGAAAGTAGCACAAAATTTTTCGCAGTGGTTTTGGGTTCTTTTTTTTATTAGCAAACATATACATATGTACATTTTTACTAAAAACAAAGGATACGGTTTAGTTATTTGTATAACGATTTTGGGTTGCTGTGCCTTTTCATAAAGCGAGATCCATGCGCTTTCGTTCAATCCTCATATAAAAATGTAAACCTCTTATAAAGATGTAAACCAAATTAGTATGGAAAAAAAGGAGTTAAAGAAATCGGTTAACGTGGTCCAAAGTTATGCGGTAACATACATTAAAAAAACTCGACGAGTTGATAATCTTCTTTTAGTGAAGTCGAGTCGGTTAATAATAACATCAAGGAACGAAGATAACAAGAAGGGACAAGTCGTTATAATTGTGGCGAAAATGCGTTTTGCCCTAGTGCGTTTTTTAATTGGATGAAAAGAGAAGGCACGCCCCTGTTGCGCACTTTCGTCACAATTATAACGAGTTGTCCCTTTTTGTTATCTACGTTCTTTGTTAACATTAAATTTTGCTCAAAATTGATACGATCTACTGCAATTGCAGCAGAGTCCGAATGCTGCTTGGTATCCATTAATGTATTTGGGTTCATTGCAGTTAGTGTTGCCAGTGTTCGTTTGGAAACGCACTATAAGCCCAAAAAAACGCGTTTCTTCTCGAAAAAAGCCTCAAAATACAATTGGAGTATTTTGTAAGCATGAAAAATGTCATTGTAGGGATGCCGATCCAAATTAATAACAGGCTTATTGGCTGTTTTTGCCAGAGAACTTAGATAGATAGAGAAGGTGCAAATTTTTGGAACGTAAAATTGTTTGGCTGAAAAATAAATCCATGGAATATCACCACAGCGCGATTAACATTTCAAGAAGAGTTAACAGAGAAAAATGTAAATTTCTGTTATGATAATGTTATATTTGTTGCAAGTGTCTGGCTATGTGTTGCTAGGTTGCATGTGGATGCAGAAACGT